AAAAATTTAGAAGTCTTTTACGACAAAAAGGCGGGATTGAAAGTGAAAGTTTAGTCTGTTGGTACATAATATACTATATTTATATATCTAATTATTAATATTACACTGAATGTGACATAGCTTTTTTGTTTGCCTTTTTTGGATTAACAAAATATTATTTTAATGATTTAAAATAAACTGCCAGTAATAATAATTATCTGTACTTAAACATATACAAAGTGAAATCATAAAACGACGCATCAAGAAAGCACCAAATTATTAAACTTTTAATTTACGTAACAAGTAATAAAAGTAATTTTAAAAAACCGACTTTAAAATCGTGCAGATGCCATCACCACATCTTAACCAAATTTATGTGGGACCACCCCTGAGGTACTCCCTTACTAACGAAAAGAATTATAGAAATCGGACAAGGTGGTAAAGAATTATCGCTGAACATACATAAAAAATAAAAAGTTTGAGGATTTTCTCATGGACCCAATTATTAGATTTTGACCAAATTTATATGAGACCATCCCGGAAGTACCCCCTTTCCAGCAAAAAAGAATCATTTAAATCGGACTGTGTTAAAGAATTATCGCTGAACATACATAAAAAATATACAGACGAATTGAGAACCTCCCCCTTTTTGAATTAGGTTAAAAGGTTAAATAATAATCTATATTAATTGTATTAACTAAAAAACTACTATGTAGAGTTATATATATATATCTTCTTAAATTAATCTTATATGTAAAAACGTGGGTTCGGTTCCTAGAAGAGTACCTAGTTCACTGTGCAGCCAAATTTATATTTATAATACAGAATTTTTTGAATAAATAAAGTTTACGGTTTAATTAAACACTAAGTTTTATCAGAAATAACATTTTCTGAAAAAAGTAACATATTAGAAAGCAGACTTTTAGAAAAATAAATAAAAATTTTATATAATCACATAAATGTGATTTATCTTTTAGAATATTGTATATGTTTGTCAAAGTTTACTAATTTTTAAAAAAAAAATAAATATCCCTCAAAATTTTTCTTACATTTTTTAACACGTTACAAAATACCTTAATCCGTTTATAGTTATGGACTTTAAACAAGACGGAGACCGGACATCGTCGAAGAGAAACCGCGAAATTAGTAAAGAATTTTAAGTTGATTAAAAAGCGTTCTTTCTCTTTCCATTTCCTATAAAAACTAATAGACCTTTTTGAAATCGGTATTCGCTGACTTTTCTTCTATTTTATTGCCTTGAAAATGATATGATTTACATAAAAAACAAAAACTAACTTATTATTTTTGTGAAATAAAAATATGTTGTTATTTTCACAATTTTCGACCACTCTGTTCAAAAAAAAAATACGATGTTCTTCTGTAGATATTAACACATTCATTAATTGGCTCTTTTTTTTTAATATTCTTTAGTATTTTCATAATTTGGAAAACAGTATAGCATTGAAACTTCTATACCTAAAAAATTGTGAGTACGCTTTTAATTAATTGTCTGTTTTTTTTATCTCACAATGTCTCGATAAGAAGTTATATAGAAAAAAAATCTTATTTTGCTCTGAATTTATGGTCCATGCCATATCGGGTGGCTTTAAAACTAAATAAAAGATTTTAGGAGATTTTTTAAAAATTTCTCAAAATTTTAAAGCAGTGACTCATTTCCGTCTTTTCCACAATACAAAATCAGCTTGTCACAATCGTTTTTCTCTCATTTATAGACATTGGCTAACTTTTTAGAAAATTTTCTCTTGCAACGCGCCTCAAATGGTGCGACAGTCAAAGCCATGTGCGAAAGCAAGAAAAAATATTTACATTACTTTAACGGATTGAAGAGATATTAACATGCTGGAATTAATAATTATTGTTGACTCGAAGAGGTATACATTAAACAAAAACATATTTATAATTCACATCTCAGTGTATACCTTCCAATTTCGGATATATATTTTTTAATACATAAACGATAAAATTAATTTAATATAATTGAGCGAAATTACTGTATGTAAAAAATAACATGAATTCAAATCACTAAATAGTAGACAAAGATATATATTTTGTTGGTGTCACCCTCTAGACGAAAAAGCTTTAACGTATTTCTATTTTTATTGTAATAAAAATAAATGCTCCTGTAGGCAAAAATTAAATATATTGTTCTAGCATTTTTTAACATTTCTATTTCTTTTTGTTTCTTTTCTTAGATTTTTTTCAAAAGAGTCTGATTCATATTTTTAAAGTGACTCCAGAGTGGTAAGGGTTAAGCCTTTACCTGTACATAAAATTTCTTTTAGTAAAATTAAAAAATAATCCGCAAAATTGGTGTACTATGAAACCCTTGCATATAATATATATACCAATCTTAGTATTACAGAAATAAATTACGTAAAAAATAAGGTGTACAAATACGTAAAATTTATTCATCCCTCGTAAAACATCAGTAAAATATATTATAAATTGTTTTCATTCACAAATGTTAATTTCTTAAAAATCTATCAGAGGCGCCACTTTCCAGACGAAAAATCTTGCAATGTAAGGGTTTCGTAGTACCCCACTTTTAAAGTTTATTTTTGACTATTTTTAAAAGAAAAAAATATGTACGTGTAGGTAAAGGTTAAATCTATGCTCCTCTGGAATCACTTTTTCAAAATTCAATTTAGTTTTTTCTAAAAAAAATTGAGAAAATGGGTAAAAAATGTCGAGTTTTGTATTTTTTTTTAGAAAAAACAGTTTCAAATTTTAAAAAAGTGTCTCCAGAGAAGCATAGATTTATCCTTTATCTACACGTATATATTTTTTTCTTTTAGAATAAGTCAAAAATAAACTTTAAAAGTGGGGTACTACGAAACCCTTGCATGCTCCGCTCTACAGCCAAGTAAATACTCCTCTTAAATAAAAAAATCCCGGCCAACGGTAGGATTCCAACCTGGGACCCTTGGATCCACAGGCAGAGACTCTACCACTGAGCCACCCACCCCCCGAGAACGACTTTGAGTCCGGTGTATTAACCCCTAAATATAGCCCTAACGTTTTACATCGGATTTTTTACATACTTCGATTGATTTTCTCTTACTATACGGAGAATGGTCGCACTGCGCAGCTTTCTAAGTGCCGTTTGAAACGAGATAGAAAACTCCGCCATATTGAACACCTATTACGTGTTGTCTACATCTTGACGCAATCTTAACGTAAATAACAGATATATTCCATAAAATATAAAAATGACCACCTATAAAGTACCCCCCAGATGTTCCGACACTGCCCAAAATCTAATCAGCACATTGGACGCTGGAACAAAGCTTAAGTTTGAAATTTGGTGTTTTTCTGTGTATCGGTTCATGAGTTATGCGACACACACATACACAGACATCATCGCGAAAATAGTCAAAACGGATTCAGGGGACCTCAAAACGTAAAAATCCGTCGAAAACTCGAGGTCGAAAAAATCATGATTCCTATACTTTCCTTATATCTGTATACAGATAGGAAAGTAAAAAGCATTTAGAATACAAAATAGGAACATAATTAAAGTAGGTAGTTACTGTTACTTACAAATGGAAAGATTTAACTTAAAATCGCCAAGTAAAGCAAGGTTTTCAAGATAGTCATTATTTGTTAATGATTTAGTAAAGTGTAGGTTAGGTTGGGTTAGCTGAAAAAATGCAAAATATAATATTAGATTGTTTAGCCTCAAAGATTTTTATTACGTTACAAAAATAAAATGTTTGTTCATGGACATGGGACTGGCGAAAAATATAATAAATTGGGGTAAAATCATATGCACAGCTTTGGAAATATTTTAAAACCACTCACCTCTATTTCAAGATGCACTCGCAATTATAACTTTACTTCAAAGAAGTTTCTTGTATATTATTTAAAATAAATGTGTTTTCTACATTTGTTGCCTTTATTTAAAATCTCAAAATACCAAGATGTAGGCTACCAGTTTAACATTTTGGAAAAATGTGTTGCCTAGCCTAGTAGTAATTACATCAAAATCCGCGCCCTATGATGGACGTGTCGGACATCTCTCTTGCACCATATAGTAATCAAAGTATGTGGGTTTTTTTGTAAAGGCCTTTACATGCCGAGTCCTATTTAAATTAAAATTTCACTACTCGTCGGAACCAACGACGGGATTACACCAGGCAATTTTGTAATTAAATCACAGTCCATCGCGGTACCTACCAGTGCCGTACTTAAAGACATGTGCGTCACCGGCACAAACTCTTAGCCGTAAATGCTCATTCATGGAATTGCCCTTTAATGAAAATCAGAAGAATGTTAAGGTCCCATCCTGTTTCCTTACAAAAACTATCATCAATTTGGATGTTTTCTTTTTAAGTATATTCCGAAAGTGTTGGTTTTTTGTCTGGAAATAGAAATATACGATTGAACCTAAATCATTAACAAAAAGATGAATGTTTCCTGAGATAAACATAATTATTACATTTATCTGAGGATTTTTGGCACTCTTCCGTGTATCTATTATATCTATCTAATAGTTATGCAACTAATTATACACGCCGAACAGTGTTGCCAACTTGTGAGAATTTTTCTATAGTATTGCGAATTTTCACTACAAACATATGGGACCAACAACGTTGATTTTGGTTGAACTTGGGAGTATTTGCTAACCCCATAAGCTTGTGCTATTCTTTATTTTTGATTCTCAGTGATAATATTTGATTTCGTGGTAACTGAAGTTGTATGTGTTTTGATTTTGGTAGTTATTATTCGGTTTGAAAACAACTGCTTTTGATTTTTGGGATTTTTTTAGTAGTTTACATGTAGTTTACTATTTTTGAACAAAACATATTTTTTACCAAATGATATTTATTCTATTCTTGTTACATCCTTCCTCCATGCTTGTTACTATTAAGTTTTAATATTTTTTATAGGACAAAATAAGTGTTTTTTTTAATATAATAATAAACTAATTTCAGACGTGTCAAAAATTGTGCGAATTTTAAAATTTAGTATACAATGGGATTTTTTTGCGTATGTCTGGGATGGGAACTTCTGTTAAAATTGGTTGGCAAGTTGGCAACATTGGAATAATATATTGATATGGGGATTGTGATTTGTGATAGGGATTGGTATTGGTAGTTTTTTCATATGGTTTAGGTTTATTTGTGCTATTTTTTAAAACTAGTAATTAATGGTTAATCTTGTAGTGTATTAATGATTAAATAATTAGAACTATAACATTGTGATATTTTTATTCTTAAACAATAAGGTTAAACAAACAAAGTTAAAATGAGAGTGTCTTTAATATTAAGGGCTGTCAACAAGGAGGGTCTAAGTAATTTGAAAAAAATAATGGATAATGCCTTAGCGGAAGCGCCTCAGTATTTATTAAAAGTAAAAAAAGATCAGCAACAAATAGTATTCGATAAAATTAAGCACCTAAATAGATGGTATACTAAAATTATTGGACTGGATGAAGTTAAGGTCTACCAAGAAAGAGTCACCGCTTTGCAGGTGGGTTCATTGAATTATTGGCTTTCATATAGGGTTACCAGATAATAAATTTGATAAAGGAGGTCGGATGAGCCTAAAAAGGAGAAATTTCTTTAAAGGAGATTTTTTTATATAATTTACTATATTTTAATCCTATTTAGCTGAACTGCTAATTTTTGCAAGATCCTGATTTTGGAACATATAATAATGAACATATTCACTTATTCACATGAAATAATTTGTTTGAAGTTGCATTGAGTGAGAATCGAAGATTTAACCGACTTTGCAGTTAGTTTGTTTCTTTATTTGCAATCAGCATTAGGTGCACTTATACAAAAATAAAACTTAGGTCTTGAGTAGTTCTAAGAAACATTCAATGTTTTTATCACTTTTGTCCACTGCTTGTGCAACTTCAAATCGTAATTGACATCAGAACTGATTTTGATTTAGGAAATAAAAGGTGGAAATACAATAGGTAAGGGACGACAAAATATGAAATAGAAAGACGTGTCCTCCTATTAGATATCATTTGGCAACACTACTTTCATATCTAAGGAGAAACTGTTAATACACCAGTATTGTGACATCACAGGGGAACTATTTAAAGTTTGGATTTTTCACTTAATACATTGTATTTCTCATGACCCATCCACAATTAAAAGTGTTTAATATGTCATTTCTCCTTTCAATCCTAGATGTATTTTGTAAATAGAAAATAAAAGTGTAGGTCGAATATCCCAGATAAAATTAAATCTATTTAAAAAGCACCCTATTTATTATTATCTAGTTTTAGGACCAACTTTTAAAAACTCAAACTAAACGAAGGGAACTAAATACACATCTAACAGAAATTAGGCAAAAAGCTCTGGAAATACAGAGCCAAATTCAACACATTGATCGAAAGGAAAAGTTTGATGCATATTGTCATTTAATCAATGATGAAAGGACGGTAAGGGTCTAATGTTTTTTTATTTCTATTCTTTATTTAATGTTGTGTGGGATAGATAATATTATCCTACAATTTCAATTGTAAAAATAATAATTTAGAATGTTTAAAACCCAAGCCCAACTCATTAATAAAAAAAAACAATTGAGATTGTATTTTTCAAATCAACCCAATTTTAGATATTAAATATGGAACGTACAGCAAATGCAACATTCAAAGAATATGATCAGGCTGAAAGAGAATTATTTACAGCATTTACAAATGCCGTACGGGATTCCCAGGAGAAGCAGAGGTCACAATTGGAGTATAGCAAATACATCACTATGGTACTGAGTCTTGTGGGTTCTTTCATAGGTAAATATTTAAAATATTAAAAGCAGTGGCGGCTTCTCAATTGAGACAGTTGGTCAATCTCCCTATAATATCATCTTTATTTTTTTTATTTATAAAGTCAAGGGTCTGTAAAGCTTGGTATTTATTTATTTATTTAACAAATCCTATTACATGCTTATAAATACATTAAATTTAAATTGGGCATACATGACTTAATATTAAAAATATAAACATTAAAAACTGACAAGATTGTAGAGTGTAGAATACAGTAAAAAAAAGTACTTTAGTATGTTTATCACATTGTGATGATTCGTGGTTATCATTTCCACATTTTGTACATCTGGCTTTACTCCAGCATTGCTTGGTTAAATCGAAAGCAGTTGTGACACAGCATGATGGGTCTAAAGTAGTAACTTCTAATCTATTACAATAAATATGAATATATGTAGGGAAAGAAACACCTTGAAAGGTGAAGATGACAGTGCCTGTGGGCACATATGAAACTTCGTGCAAATCTTTATCAACTAACCTTCTATTGACTCTTCTTCGTTAACTCTATTAATAACTTCTTTTTCGTCTATTTCTGTGCCTAGTCCCCTTATCACTCCTTTACTGGAGATGAGAGAAGCCGGGATGAATGTATTGTATTCTTTCATTTTAATTTCTTCATTCTTTTGGAATCTATTAGCGTCTGTTGTGAGCCTGAAGGTTATTGCCAACCTTTTTTTTTTTTTCGATGTTTTTCACTGCTGTTATTTCCATTTGGTGCAGCATTTTTTCAAATCCAACTGGATGCATGTTACCTACATTTTGGTTTTTGTGTTCTATCATAACCTTGAATGGTGGAGAGTCATATACACTGTATACGATGTCGTTCAACGCCGATTTTCTTTTGGTTTCTACCTCTATAGTTTGCCCCCCTTTGTGTTTGGTGGGCCCTCCGGTCCCCCCGAGCCAACCTTAATGCGCTATTTAGAGTTAGGCTTGATCTACCTTCATTTCTGAGTAGTTGATTCTTCCCAAACTTGTAAATATCAATTCACACAGTACTGCTATGCTATGTTTCTTCGTGCCCTGTTAATAAGTTTAAGATTGTATTGTCACGATTCGTATAAATTCATATTTTTCCTAATTTTAATTAATTATTTAAATAACATCCTGTACATAAAACTTTGTTTAATTATGTCAACAATTTGTTTTAAATAGCAATAATGTGCAAGGTTGGTTATTTAATAATTATTAAACATTAGATTTAATAACAATAAACTATGAGAAAGTTATAAAGGTAATGTCGAGGGGATGCACGAGGCTTTTTTCCACAGGGAACGGATCCTCCCCATCGGAGGTCCCCCTTGTAGGAGAATCCCAGTAGCAGCTCCAGCTCATGATCTTCATAGCCTAATTTAAAAGTCTTTATTTTGTATTTTTAACACTTTCGTTTTAATAGTCGGGCAAGAGTTGTGACGTGTGCCCCAAATATTGATGAGTTGGTAAGTCTACGTTTTATGTGTACTTATTATTATATTGAGCCTGTATTTGTGTATGTCGAGTTAAGACATTTTATATATTCGTTGTAATGACATTATACTTGTTTTGAGAACACTGTGTTTTCTTCAGCCCTTGTTTAAAGACGTGTTAGGTTCTTACAGCAGGAGCAGAACCCTTATACAGTTAAGGGCTACGAAGCCAAGTTTAAGGCTAAATAGTGTTTATGTGATTGAGGCCCAAATTCATATATTTTGTTATTTAACCCCTGGGACATAGATAGTCCCATAATTATTTAAGAACACATTCATTGTGACACATTTAAATTATTAAAAACCACGTTAAACGTGACAGTATTTATCTTAGGATGATTTAAATTGCTTATGTTACAAAAAAATTTTTCGACCGATCTCTTCAAGAACTCTCAAAAAAGTCTTAATTACCCTAATTACCACTTAAAATTACATCTCCCTATGAGAAGGCGTTGCTTCGACTTTGGGTTATATAATTTCTTCTTTTGATACTATATCACTGTTAGTTTGCCATGTGACGATGTGATAATTTATAATATTATTACATCGCACATCCTGAAGTAGTATAAGTAGTATTGATCATTCAAAAATATACAAAACTAGTTCTGCTTATTTTGTAACACTCAATAGCCGTAGAAAAGTACAATTTCTGGTTTGGGAATTATTCGTTGCGCAAAATTAGTTTTGCGCATTTATTTTGGGCATTACCCGAATTCTAGTATTGAACGTAACATATACAACAATATTCATATTTTGTTACTATACTAGTAATATTATCAGAAACTGAACAAGTTACCTCTGACAGATGTGACAGTTCTGTTGTCATGTAAACAGTTTTCGTTTAGTTTGATGAATTCCTAGTTCTCCTAACCTAATGTAAGTACCAAATTTTTTTTAATACTTTTTTAAATTATAATAGGAAATATATGATTGGTATGTATTATTATGTTTTAGTTTTGTTTAGATTGAACAAGACCTGATGTAGTTTTTCAAAATTAAAGTTTCCATTTTTGTCCAAATTTATAATGTAAGGATATATTAGTTTTATTTTTAAATTTTGATGCTAGAAAAAAAATGGTATATCTTATTCGGAGTTGAAGGATCTTTATGTATTTCGCCCAGTTTGCACATCCTCAACTGTGGAAAACTCTTGGACTCTACAATAAAATTAGCGTTCTACTTCTAATACCATTAAAATTTAAAATTATCAGACGAAGGAAATATTTAGGATTTATTTTAGTACAGTCTAAGCGTGACGTCTTTCACATTGATGCTGCATTGGTGGCTTCAGAGAGACGAGGAAAAGAAGACTGTACTGACTAGAGTCGAAATCTGATTTCATCAAATTTGCCAATTTGAACATATACAGAGTGGGCCATCGGTAACGCCTCGGTAGAGCCAAAATTATTTGATTTTTAGCAAATCTGTTTTCAGATCAAGATGTATATCAGAAAAGGCAACAATTTGAAATTATTTTCTTTTATACAGGGGTCTCCAAGAAAATGATTCATATTATTTTCGGAGTTTATGGGAACTGTTTTCTAGGAAATGGCAGATTTCGTCAAAGCATCTGCTAATGGGGAAATCTCTGAAAAGAAAATACATAAATAATGAAAAATCTAAAATATGACAAAAGAAACGCTCTGTCAATTTTTGTCCCTTAAAAAATTATTAGGTTGTTAAAATTGGAAAATAAAGTCAGGTATTTGAAGTTTAAAGCGCTACGTTTCTCTTTGGACATTTGGCAACCACGTGAGGTTGTTTCTTAGGTATTCATCCGTTCTGTATTCGGAAAATCGCTTCCATCCTGTTCTCTCATTTAAAAGAAAGGGAGAGGATTTCAGAATAGTTTCAATCAATTTCTGAACGCTATATTTCTATCAGTTGTCATTTGTGTGTTGTTTTGTTCTAATAATCGTCTTTTGTGTGTTTATATTTTTATCAAGATTTTTATAGTGCTTTTACAGCAGTTTACTAATATAATAAATTTATAAATTATATAAGTAAATATGTCATGATTATATTTATAATTATATTATGTTACCTATTAAAATATTAGTGTTTAATGTAGCGACATATATTGAAGTGATCTCCGCAACAGTATTTTATACTTTTTATAAAGTCCTAAATTTTTTTCTCTGATGACCTAAACTCCATATTATGACCTTGTAAATTCGGCCAGCAACTGTCACTGATTGACAGACACATCTTTTAGTTTTCATATATCATTTTTTTTTTCTTTTCAGCTTTTTCATTCGTGATTAAAGGTTTAACGCGAGGCCTAAAGAAGTTAGAATATAAATTGAATCAAAATGCACCTGTGGCGGATCCCAACCAAATTTCATCCATTATTGCATCGTGCGTTGTGATTGTAGTTGTAGGTTATATGGTATTGAGAATAATAGGCGGATAGACTGATTATACTTTGAACATTTTAATTGAATATATTTAATGATACAAAAAATAATTGGTTTTATTAAGGCAGCCGTTTAAAACTGACCTATTCAGAGTTCTGAGCCGTTACAACTCGAACCTCCTTTCGTAATGTATTTTACTCAAAACTATTTTCTCCAAGTTCTGTAAGGGGTTTTCTCGCCACAGAGAAAACGATTCCTTACGAATGACGCTGGTTACGGGCGGTTCTCGAGCGCCAGATTTTTGGTGATGGTTTACTCCACGAACTTTCGAAACGGCGTCGAAAGTACTCGGGTAGCTACAGATGGAGATGAAAAATTCCAGGGGTCAAAGGTCACTTAGACACAGGTAATAGTAGGCCACAAGTAACGGGCTTTAATCGTTGCTTGGGCTGGTACAGAATTAATCACTAGCTGAAATATAAGGGGGAAATAAATTTAGGAATTAATAACCAATAATACGGCCAGTTAACATTGACACATGTATTGTTTTAAAATATTTACAAACGAAAAGGAATAAATTAATGTATTTCAAATGTTGTTCCCCAAAATATATTTTGAGCGTCGGTTCGGCGTGGCTCGGTGGTCCAGGATGGCGTGGCGAAAACGTGATAAGAGCTTAGGTTATGTTTACGGTAATGGAAGTCCCTCGAAGTCAATACCTTCGTGGGAGAGATCCACGGGAAAGGAAAACCTACAAAGTCAATACATTTGCAGGCAAGGGTCGGGAAGCCCACAGAGTCAATACCTCTGCAGGAGAGGAGAGTTACCAAGTCAGTACCTTAGTTCGACTGACGAGAATTAAATTCGGAGCTCTTTATATACTTGTCTCTGCTTGGCAAAAACGGCTACATGCTGAACCATAGGCGTCTCTAAAACGGTGTTACTGGGGAACATCATTACAGTTCGTTCGCTAGGCGAATATCAGATCAAAGCGCTGAATGATAGAAACATAAACAGAGATGCAAAAAAAGACAAAAGTTATCAACACTCTTCATAGTGGGCACTCTTAATTTCGTTTAAAACGCCTTAGCAACTTGCTGCGTGATTGTAACCGCATGACATTAATAGCTGTCAGTTTTGTGGGTAC